CCCCCCCCCCCCCCACCAAAAGAAAACCCATCACAACAGTTCACATGAAACAAAACCAACATAGTAAAGGTATACCATAGCTACCTACCTAGCTGAGTATCACTAAGAAGAAAAAAATGTTTTAAGTTTTATCCAATCCCATACCCAAAACCTGAAGACCAACGTGAAATAGCCCTCCCCAAGATTGATCTGAGATATCCCTCCCAACAGCCCTCCCGTCCCTCTTTCTAAACCCCTCCCATTATTTTAGCCATTTCATTTCTCTCCGTCTCTCTCTCTCTCTCCCCCCTAGCCCACCCCGTCAATAACCTCCTCCCCCCTCTCACTGCCGCCCGGAAAACAGAAAATAGACACTAATACCATTCGCCCCTCCCTGGCTGAACTTGCAGGAACTTACCCCGGGACTCACCTTGATGATGCATGGAAGACTTGGATGGCGACGAGAACGTGAACTCACGAAGACCATTCTACACCTACACTACAAGAACTGCCTCCTGGATCGAATCAACCCCAAGAAACTATTCAAGTTCCTCCACAATAAACACATGCCGCTTGCAGCCCCGAACATCGATCCTATCACCTACGGATGGACCTACAACGACCATATTAAAAAAATGCTATATGAAGTTATAAACCCATTGCCACCTTCCAAAGATTTTACCTTAAGCATGTGGTACGAGCAACAAATTGGGAGTGTTTTTGCCAACAGCCCAGATATGAAAATATATCACCCCTTTAACATTGGCCTCCTACCTGACGGTATGCACCCACATGTCATCACAATGGACATGACCATTATAAACAACAGGGAACTCAGGACACTAATCCAGACAGGACTCGACCACATCCCACCAGTACCGATGAACCCCCAAGATGCTACCGAAGAAGTCAACAAAGTTTGGAATGCAACGCTAGACATCGTCAGGCAACAGCCATCCCACAGAACTAGGTGGAAAGCGCGAGCCAAGACCTGCAGTGCATCCTCAATAGTGTTTTTCGCAGATTACCAAGGACCAACCCCATAGACACACATAAACATGCAATCAGAAAAGAGATAGACTTCCAAACACGACACTTTATATATCTGGAGCAGACGAACACCCCCGTAATATGTTGTGCAAACCTCATACGATTCCTGGCACTTCAAAGACTTGCCGGAGCTGACTTCACACCCTGCACGACACTGCAAACAAAATTACTGCATGAACTTTCGCGTGAAATCTTTACCAGATTCCCATTTGTACCCCTTGGCACAAATGAACTTCCCTACCTGTTTGCAACCCACAAGAAACACAAACGCTCGTTTCGATGGCTTACCAACGCAGCATACATGCCTTTTCCTCCCCTCGCTGACCTTTGCGCTGCCATATTAAACAAACTCAAAGATTCGGTACAAAAACACTGCGGAAACCTAACACAAAAAGTCAAAAGGAAATCTAGGATATGATGTCCCCTTCTGGTGGATCATTGAATCCACATCAGACTATATATAAAACCTCCCCGCTGATATCACAACCCTCTTCCCCGCTGACATCAGCAGATGTTATGAAACCATATGGACTGAGGACTTAGAAGGCGGATTGCTCCACGCCATAAAATACTTCCTCGACATCGCATTCAACACGGCCCGCAAACAATATGGCAAAGATATTACGCTCCAATGCCACATCAACTCAAATCGACCCATGACAGCAGATAATTGTGGCTAGTATACACGCCAAAAGTCCAACAAAACAACACTGACCCCACAAATCATCATTCTAATGAACAGCTGGCTTATCAAGAACTCCTACATATCTCTCAGGGACCACACATCGCGGCAGATACTCAAGATCCCCATGGGACTCAGCTGCTCGCCTGCTTGGTGCAGTACTTATTTCTTCAAATATGAATATATGTGCATGAGAAAACTTCTCAACCACCGCAATCAACACCTCCTACCCCACTTCTCGCTCACCTTCAGGTACTTCGATGATCTTCACTTCGTCAACAATCCCCACATTAAGAAATTCCTGAACCCCAACATCAACTCCTCAAGATGTATCTACTTTCTATACCCAGTCCAATATGTCACAATCAATGATCAAACCAAGAATGAAGATGACGCCCAACAACAGCCCATAGAAT